AGGCGTTCGCCTCCGACAAGGGCCTACTCGTGGCTTTTGCATCCTTCCGATCAGTGGAGAAGATCTCAAACAAGCCACCACCCCGATGGGTCGGGTCCTTGGACTCGAATTTCGAAACATGTCCTGGTCCGCCTCCCGTCGTCTTGAGGTATGGACAAGCGCCCGCCGATGATGAACGGTGGGATCCAGCCACGGGATTCAGCCTTGCGACAGTGTGAACGTTCAAAAATTGAAGATGGGCCAGTATCCGATGCTGTGGCTTTTCTCGATGGAAACGATCGCTCCAGGTCATACACTTGGACCCCTGTAAAGAGGCTCTTTTTCTCAAACCCCGATGTTGTCCATCATTCAGCCTCATGACGATTTACCAACTTTGGATATTGCCCGCTATGAGACTCAATGACTTCCTTAGTAAGGTACTTCCATGTCAGCACAACCCGTCTCTTCCTTCTCCGTATGACACAAACCGCCTATGGCGCCAGACTCGCAGCACAGATATCTCCCAAAGCCCAGACTTTGAGCATGTCTGACAAGTCTCTACCTCAAGCTGGCATCTTCCCGCCGGGATCCATTGCCCGGCTCCCACGACGCCCGCGATACCGCCCAGACCGCGAGAACCTCGGACGCACGCACGTACACAGTCAGAGGGGGGGCAATATTCTGTCATTGTGAGCGCCTAGCCGGGAGATGAACAGCGCAATGATCTCGAATGCTCACGGCCGTTCTTGTCATGCAAAAGACTTCACCGGCACTGACGCCTTTCAACTCATGCGCTGGCTTGGTTGGCATTTCGACGGGTGTCCGGGAGGTCCGAGTTTCCCCCCCTCCCAATCCTTCGTTATCCGCGAGACTCGGGAGGAGAGGAACTTTGACCACCTGCTATATCAACTTTGGCTGTGTTGTCATTTGCGGGCTCTCGGACTGGTGAGGTTTTGCACTGACGCTTTTTGAGTTGCGCGGTTTTTCCCCTCCCTCGCACCTCCTCTAGGCTCCCTCCTCTCTCTCTGGCATGGCTGGTAAGTTATGAGGGCATATTGTGACCTGCGGTCAGTAATTTGAAGTGCCAGGTAGCTAAAGAGAGCACGGTGGGAAAGTTAAGCTAATAGGAAGGGGACGTGCGACTTGACTCTTGTCTATGGGAATTGGTCCGGCGCGGCAAGTCCATATGGTTTCTCGTCACACCCTGTATTGCATGGGCTTCTCGATCGCCGGCCTCCCGGAGATGTCTAGTTGTCATGAGCGGTGTCTAACAACCGGGCTGCCGCATTGTTTTCGTGATGGAAGCCGACTTAGGACCCGGACCTCCTGGACAACGGAACCGGGATTATGATACTGGCTGCTGTCGCCGCCTTCTTCCGGCCCGAAGTGTTTTCCTAAAAGTCCTGATACCTGATGGATCGAACGGCAGTCGAGATTCTGAGCAACATGGAATTTGGAGCAAGAGGCCTATCGACTGCATTGGTTGGAAGGCGGCACTCCACAGACGACCATGGTTTGGTCTGCTGCTTTGACAGCTCTGCTCTGTTTCTGTCCATGTGACTCGGCCCTGGGACCTTACTGTCGGCCTAGACTCATCCTCGCTCTTCGTAGATACCTTGATGAATACGCTGTTGTCAATGGGGAAGCGCATGAAGAAGGTCTGCTTGAGGTTGAAATTGCATCCAGCTATAACTTAGTTCTATGCCTAGCACATTGATAGCAAGAAGATGTGCCGATCGCTGCCGGAGACGTCTGAATCTGCGCTTTCATGGGCAGGCTGAACGGCCAGGCGACCAATCCCACATTGTCGCTTTTGGGACGTTGAACATACCCTTGCCGAAAGATGGGAGCTTGTTAAGATCGAAATACTGTATGTCACCGACTGGCCGCCTGGACACACATCTTGCTCTTGCACGCAGACTTGACATGGCAGTTCACCATCGATCAAGCTGGATATACTCAGCCTTAGACCAGCCTACACAGCACACCTCGCGAACAACGTCCAGGAACTTTCTGAAACACTGATAAGCAGAGTCATAGAGATGAAGGCGTAGCCTATCTTTGATAAGTAAATAAAGGGCTGTAAGATAGACCCAAGCTGATCAAGCTCGCTGTCCCCAGTTCCACACGAAATCAAAGCCAACTCGACACCCCTTCTCCTCCACATCACGCCTCAACTCCGCCTCGATGCGACTGACATCCTCCATCGTCTTGACCGTCTCCTCCCCGCCGTCTTCTACTATGGACGCCAACGAAGGTCGAATGAGACGCATGATCCCCGAGGTGGCTTCATCTCGAACGGAATCATCTGCGGCCCACGAGTTGAAGATCCTTTGCTCGCAGTTCTGAAACCCAAGCTTTCGAAGCTTCTTGAGCAGGCCCATCGGCATTCTAGTAGAAGTGTGAGCAGTGCTTCTCCCCACGACTGGAGGCGCAAAAAGGGGCAAAGCAACGTAAGGGCGGTGGGAACCACTCACAGTCTATCCCTCCCAACCTTCGCATCGTGCTGCATAGTCACCCACCAAAACTCCTCATACGCCCTGCTCAGCGGATAAAACCTAATGAGCAGGTCACTCATATCCTCCCATAGAAGCCACCCGCCCGGCACCAGCAACTCTCGCATGTTCCCAACAGCGACATCCCAGTCGTCCTTCTTCAGCCCCAGCGCGAGTAGTCTTACATGGACGAAGTCGAACGTACCCCTGAGCTCTACCGGAAACGGCTTGAGAATGTCGTGCTCCATGAAGTTGAACGACATTTCTGATCTATGCGAATGGGGCATTTTGAGCCCGTCGAGATCAAAGCCATAGAGCTCCGAGCCCTGCGGGACGATCTGAGCAAGGGATGCCAGCCAGACGCCGCTTCCCGTTGCCACGTCTGCGATGCGAGGGGCTCGGTCTCTGTTGTGGGGTTCGAGAGATGAGAGGATGTGCCGAGGGAGGAGGTCGACGGTGAGGGGTAGCCAGACTTTGAAGTGGTTGTCGGCTAGGCGCTCGCGCTCGCCGTCAACGTCCCCGCGGTTGAGGTTGTAGACTGTATTGGTCCATGAGGCCTTGTTGGATGCCTGTCGTTCTGCCATGTTGAGCGTTCATCCGTAGGTGATGTGTGCAACAATCGCGTGCTCTTCTCTAGGCTGAGTTGTGAGATATGTTCCTCTAGGTAGCTGGACGTACTATATTAGTCATTCCGTGGTCTCCGAATACTCCTTCGTCTTCTGGTCTGCCTGGTGCACGCTTCATGCATGCCATGCAATTGGATTTGGAAATCTATTGGACATCGAATCTTGATAGGTGGACGGAACCCAATGTGGTGTGATGCTCTGAGCTTCATCCTGGAGCTCCGGGTATCCATCTACCCCTCATTCACAGCTGGCAACTCAAATCTCCAACAACTGAACACTCGCTGCGTGGTTGACCCCTCTCTCAACTGTCTTAACTCAGACGGAGACGGTGAACGATCCGGGGAAGAGACTACGGAGCATCTGACCTAGCATGAACCCTAATCAAGGATTCAAGATATGGTAGCTAAGAAATCAAAAAGCGCGTACATCTTCCATGTGAACAAGATCAATAGATAACAAGACTCTCCTACGAAACATGTCTATTTCGCAACATCACTATCGGTCTCATTGGGTGATTCTGTAAGCTCTACAAGCTTGATAAGCCACTGCCCCGCGTCGTCCGAACTGCAGACCATAACGACATCACCTCTATCCTCAAGCTCCTCCCCAGATGCCACCTTCTCTTCGTCTCCCTCGCAATGCCCCAGGAAAGGAAGAGTACCATACTCGTGACTTGTGTGGTCGAGAGGCTGAGTGCCCGTAAAGTTGTAGTCTGGCATGAAGAAGACATTGGTCTGAAAGTCCGTCATAAGACTACGAGGTTTCCCACGGCTGTCAGAATCGCTGGCACGAGAGTCAGTGAAAGAACGACGCATGAAGTTGCCAAAGTCGGAAACAGATTGACGGGCGTTTTCATACAATGTTAGTTCGCGTCCCGGGGGGATCCCCATCTCATCAAAGGTTTTACTACCGCGGGCTGACAGGGCAGGGGAAGAGGGAGGAGGACGCGAAGGAGACGAAGAAGAGGATGCATCAGCACGGATAGATTGATCACGTACCTCGCCTTGAGCGGGTTGAATGGGAGTTGCGGGCTCGTTCGGTGGCGTTGGAGCCACCTCGCGAATAGTTGGTCCCCTGTTTTTGGCAACGGTCTGGCCTCGCGCTCCTCGAATCAGGGGTTCAGATTCGAGCCGGTCGGATCGTCGACTTACAAGACAGGCGTGATTCTCGGTAGCTCTTGATCCCTCGATCGATATTTCATCTCCGAGTGGTGGCCTGTCTCCTTGCGCAATGTTCAAGGGAGCGGGCTGGTCTGAGTCAGCCCAAGAGGGACTCTCACAATTTTCACGAGCCGCATTCACCTTCAAAGATGCCCGCGTAGCAGAGTCCAAGCTCGTCGATCTGATTGAAGCAGACCTAGGTTCTGGCTCGATGTCTTGGTGTTGATCTGGACGGCTGCGATCTACCCGTGAACGACCTCGCTCATCGATAACCTTAGAGGCGTCTCCAGAACGACTACCCCGAGCAGGTCTGGGAAGATTCGATGCTCCCCTCGATAGCTGGTCAGGCCGGTTAACCCGCGAACTACTCAAGCTCGAGCTGCGCTGCCTTCGAGACGACGTTTCAGGGACCGAGTTCCGGAGGCTGGATACGCGCTCAGGGGGTTCGGGTGGTTTCCCTATCATAGTCCTGGGTCCCTTCGGCTGCTGTCTTTGCTGAACAGGGCCGGGGACTGTTACGGGAGCAGGCTGGTTCTCGGGAACGCCTGGTCGTTTCTTCCATACGTTCTCTAGAGGCCCAGATATCTCGCGTCCTTGCTGTTGCTTCTCTACCTGTTGCTGCCTACGTTGATCTTTTCGTTGCTGCGCTAGCTTCTTGGGTTCTTCCTGTGGCCCCCCTTGATATGCTCCAGGGGGCGATTCGGGATAAGGCGGCTCTTTAACGTATGGTTCATGGTCTGTTAGTCTTTGATGGGACTCTTGCTTTCTCTGTTCCTCCTGCTTGTATTGCACTGGGGCTTGGGCTTCTGCTTGTTGACCTCGCTGCCGATCCCCGTGTTGCCGGTTCTGCTGTTCTTGCTGTGGTGATAGTACCTGCCGGTAAGACTGATCCTGCGGTTGTGAGTGAAGTTGAAGTTGCGGGGGAAAACCTTGCGGCGGCTGATACTCTTGATATTGATTGTTCTGCGGCCGGTAAACCCGTTGATGCTGCTGCTGCTGCGGCTGATGAAGATGGACCGCGGGGGGCACCACCACATCAACAGCCGCCTGCGGAACCTGCGCCTGTGGCATAGCCATCGTCGTTGCCCCGACCCCAGTCGCGATCCCCGTCAGAGGAAGAGGCATAGCCAGAGGCGGGGGCGTGACAGCCTGCGCGCCGCGGCAGTACATGACGAGGTGTCCCAACAGCCACAGCCCCGAGACACCAAAGACGATGCCGGCAAAGGCAACGGCGGCGTCCCGGGGCACGGCGGCCTTTTCGCCGATGCTGTAGACCAAGACAACGACAGTGAAGATGACGAGGGTGAGGATCATTGTCGTGGGGAGGATCTTTGCGGTGTAGTCGTGGATGACCCTGTCTGTTGTCGGACGAGGCATATTAAAGGGGGCCAAGGGGGAAGGTTGGCCCTTCTTCTCTACGTTTCGAGCTGGTGCTGAATCTAGTTTTTAAAGATGTTCGAGGTGACTGGAGTTGTACAATTTGGATTTTAGCAGGCTGGTGTAGTTACTACAGCTTCTCCTGAGACTGATATAACGACAGGGGAATCTTGGATCACTCTCATGATGGACCTTGCTATATCAACAAAATGCATGAAAGACCCGAGAAGACTTTGGCCCATACTCGCAGGCAGACGAACTCATGATCAGATTCTAGATTTTCTCCCCCCACATCTCCTAGTAGTGTACAGAAAACGTGTCTCATATCTGTCGTAACAGGTTGTTTGCTCGACAAGCGCAAGCATTTCAACACAAAGAAAAACGGTAGAACAATTTTTGGTCTATCAAAAGAGCAAAATACGAACCGCCCAAGACAAAAATAAGTCTTCCAAAAGAAAGACATTCCAAGTTATGAAGGACGCCGGTAAGGTTCATAGTGAGACCGCGGCCTCGTCGCCTCCCCTTCCTCCCGAACATGCCACTGGCTAAAGGAAACCGGCGTGGCGGGCAACTCGACAGCGAGGGCAAGCGCAACAGAAACAGGGACAGGGACGCTGCCGTCGTCTTGGTCATCATAACGACGGCTGTCGTAGCGGTCGCGGCCAAAGGAGTCCGGACTGTAGTGTTTCCACGTATAGGGCTTCGTCAACGGCGGCTTCATCTCCACGGCGTACGCCGGCGGCGGGGAGTTGTACCGCGGCAGCGACGAGACGTCCTGTTCTGAGCCGTTTTGGCGTAGTTGTTGCCAGGGGCGGGGGAAAGGGAATTTTGCGGAGCCGACGCTTTCTGAGAGGGAGCGTCTCTTGAACCAGAGGAGGCAGGTTAGGCCTGCTACCGAGGCAATGGCTGCGACGGTGGTGCCTGCGATGATGCCGCCCGAGGTTGAGTTTCTCGGGGAGGCGGCTGCTGCGGCGGCGGGGGTCTCAGTTTCTGAGGGGGATGTTACTGCTGATGGGGTAGGGGGGAGCTCGTCGCCTGGGTTTGCGGATGGCGTCGACGAGGCAGGTGGAACTGTCTCGACGGCTGCCGTCGTCGTCGTCGTCGTCGTCGTCGTCGCTGCCTGGGTAGCCGTCGTCGGTGTCGTACTTGTAGCGGTTCTTGTCTTTGTTTTTGTACTAGATGATACTGACGTGCTAGAAGTCTGAGACCCCTCCTCCTCCTGGCCGTCGTCCAAGACACAGGCAGAACCGCCTCTACAGGTGTACCCAAACGGACAGCACTTGCTTCCACACTGCGGCAGAGACTCTTTCAGTCTAGTGGTATGAATCGGGCTCGTCGGGTTCTCGACTACGTCTTGTAAGGTAACGTCGCAGGTGATGGGCGAGATCGTCTCGCACGAAGACCCCTTTGGACAGCACAGGGCGGTGGTCTTCTCGGCGAGGACCATGCATGTCGTTTCGCTGGGACAGCAAAAGTAGTCTGCCATGCCGTTGCCGCAGGCTGTGTAGCCTTTTACGGGACAGCTGGCGTCGGCTCGTAATGTTGATTTTGGTATAAGTTGGTTGTTGGCATTATGAGGGTAAGATGTTGGCAGCGAGAGTGGTGTGATTTGCAATCCGGAGACGCAGGCTTCGGTGTAGAGGAGCCAGGTTATTATGCATAGCCTCCGCCAGCTTCTTACTGGGGCCATGTTGTGTATGAAGAGATTAGAAATGTGTATCCAAAGAAGAGCGGTTGTGCAGAACGAAAGAGATATAGAATGGTAGATAGATCGTAATATCAAAGGAAATCCAACCAAGACAGAGACCAATAACTCAGGGAAAAGCCACTCGGCCGGAACGTGTACGCAGAGGACATCGTGGTATATCAATACCTCGTCTACAACAGACAAGAAGAAGCAAACCAAAAAGACGCCGTTGGTTCCAACCAACGATCGAGCCAACCGCAGAACATGCTCTGCCGCGATGACCGGGGGGTTTCGACGTTCGGCCCTCGTCGTCGCCAAGCGCGACCAATCAGACGAGCCGTCTACGCGCGAACACTTTACAATCCCAACGCCGCTCCAACAGCAGCAAACGCCAACCTGCAGGAGACGGACACAGCAAATAAAGAGGGTATAGCTTCCAATTTACCGTTCTATCGGCGCCGTCTTGGTCATGTGAGTGGACGGCCATGAGGGTCTGCTGCAAGTTGTACCCTGCAACGTCTCATAGCACGGCCAGAACGGGCAAGAAGGTTGATGTGAAGGACGATCGTGGCACCTGGCGCTTGTTGTTCCTTGTCCTTTTCTTGAGAGGGGTCTGGGTACAGGACCCGGGTGCCACGATGGTGACAACAGGACCCGAAAATCGGGTGGTTGTCGATGAGGCTGGTGAGAATAGGTGTCCCGGGAGAACGGTCACGGCGGCTATGGTGTTTGTGCGCCCCTGTCAAATCCCACCTGTCCGGGTTTTGAAAGGCGTGTAACCTGTAAGAGAGGGCCTCGAAAGACGGTCTGGATGAAGAGGGATCAAACGCGCTTGGGCGTAGCGAGGCATACTTTTGACGACGTGGCGAGATTTTCTGGCAGTAGTAATGCTGAAGGTGGTATGCCAGGAAGACGAAGCAAGTTGTGCCGTTGATCAGGGGAGCCGAAATGTTGGGCTATGCCCATGAGCGTCTGCGAGGTTGTGGCATGGCGGCGGACTGGAAAGACCGGGCACCATCCCAACACTGTCCAAAAATGACGGACTTTTCCCCGGTGGACAGCCTCCCCTGGGAGGTTACACTGCCGAGTGGAGGCTGCTCCGATCCTCCGGACCTCGCCTCTCGGGAGCGGAAGCGGGAGCCGGAGTCGAGGCCGGAGTCTGTCGCAAGCTGCACACGGCTCACAAGGGGACCATCGGACGAATTGGTCTTGGAGCATTCCTGCCGCTTAGAACGTAGCTAGAGGGGATGGCGCATAGAACATTCTGAGATCAAGCGTCAATCCAGATCAAGCCATGTTGCTGTGACTGCCTACTAACATTAGTGACTAACCTGACCCTTATCGAGGGAGTACGTGAGGAGTCTTTTGATCAATGGAGGTTCAAGTGATGGCATGATGTAGCCCATCATAACACGCGAAAGAGCATAGGCCCACCAAGAGAACACAAGACGTCATGATATATTCCCCATGAGGAACTCTAGCCAGGGCTCTTGCACCTGTTCCTCAACACAATTCAGCTGAAGTGTGCACTTTGGACCATCCAGGCCATTGTCTAACGTACAGTCAGACCGAGGCACAATCCGTCCTCAGGGCATGGCAACAAAGGACTGGGCAGGGGTACGGCAAGTACGGAGGGGCAATCAGCTGATGTCAGTGCCAAAACCACAGCATCTCTAGCGGTAGCGGTACTAATCCCGCCTGTTCTCGGCTTTCTCAGCTTCCCCCAGAGGCCAGAGCCCCTCCCGATTCCCCGCGACATCCCGCCCCCCCGTCGCATTTCTCAAACGACGACCCAAAATATCCCGGTTTCCAAAATTCCCATCCGTTTCTCAGAGTTCATTCTCTCCAACTCTACCATTACCTTATCCTACATCTTCTCTCCCACCCTCCTCTCGGCCCGTTATCAGAGTTCCACCCGACAGGAACTGAACCTCACCACCCAATTGGGCTCTACAGTGCTCTGCCCCCCCCCCCCTTCAGTTCGTCTGGTAAGGTACTAGGTAACTCTCCAAAATGCTCCCCTGGCGAACCATCGCACCCCGAGCCGCGAGGTATGTAGTACAGTCATCCATCACACACATGTGTGACACGTGAAGGTCTCACTCCCCCCGTTCTAGGCGTGCCTCTGCATTCGGAGCAGCACAAGCACCCCGCATCACCTTCGGATCCGCGAGTAGACACCTCTCCGCAACCGCCGCCGCCCGCCAGCTCAACGCAAAAGTCGTCACCGACGGCGTGCAATTCGAGGGGCTGACGGGCTCATCTACCCGTAGATCAACGCTGTAAGTGCCCGGTCTTGAACCCCCCGTGCCCGCTGCTTTCCCCGCCAACCCCCCCCGTTCCCCGTTCTCCGTCCCCTACCCCGGCTCGTAGCTCCGGCTCCGGCCGCCCGACTTATCACGAAATGGCATGCGCATATACTTCATACAACACGTTAACTAACACGAACTCTCCCATCTCGCAGCCCCCATTTCTGGCTAAGGTACGTTGTCGCCAACCGCATCAACAAAGCGCAGTACCAGATATCCATCACCTCGTCCGAAATTAACACAACCTCTGCATCAGAGATAACTGTCGATGCAGTCAATGCGTGAACCAAGACACCACGCAACGAAACTTTGACACATACGCCGTAAGCCCTCTGCCTGCCCCTCGTATCATGAACCATACACGCCTGCCAAAAGACCCTCCTGATAAAGCAGTGCCGTCTCCAAACTAAAAAATATTGTAGATTAGCCAAGACATCCGACCTTCCGAAATCAAGTCTGAAGAAAAGGGTATCAAGTTGACATGTAAGTGCAACAACCCAGCTCACCCTCCCCTTCTCACACTTGTAAAAAAAAAAAAAAAAACACCAAGTTTAACAGTGACGCGCAACTAGGGGAGCAAGACGGCCACGAGAGCTTCTACCCCTGGCACTTTATCAAGCACTACCTGCAAAATGACCACCGCAGTCCGGAACAAGTCAAGTAAGGGAGCAATCTCACCAGCGCCCCTTTACCATCACACCACACCAGTTCACTGACCTTCCACGCAAAGCTACCACTTCTGGGGCTCCGATGTAGGTGAAAGGCGCCCTGTCGTCGAGTACGACCACCTCATGACCGACAAGGACGACTCGGGCGTCGCAAAGTTGACAAACCTCATTGTATGCAAACTCCATCCTCTGCTACCACGGGGCGAGGCGACGATGAACTGATCGACACCCCGCAGCGCGAGTACGGTTTCGCCTTCGTCGACGGAACCCCTTACGACACCCCGGCCCCGACGCAGCGCGTGCTCGAGAGAATCGCCTTCATCCGCGAGACGCACTACGGCGGCTTCTACGACTTCGTCCCGGACCTCGCCATGGCCGACACGGCCTACACCAACATTGCCCTGCCGGCGCACACGGACACGACCTATTTTACGGATCCGGCCGGCCTGCAGGCCTTCCACATGCTCTCCCACGAGGCTCCACCAGGACAGCAGTTACCAGAAGACGGCAAGCTCGGAGGCGAATCGCTCCTCGTGGACGCTTTTTACGCGGCGCAGATCCTGCAAAAGGAGGACCCGGCCGCCTACGAGATCCTCTCCAAGGTGCGCCTGCCCTGGCACGCGAGCGGCAATGAAGGGATCACCATCTCTCCCGACAAGCGGTACCCCGTGCTCGAGGTTGACCCGCAGACGCGGACGCTGCACCGGGTGCGGTGGAACAACGACGACCGCGGCGTGGTGCCCTTTACCGACGACGTTTCGCCGACCGAGTGGTACGCGGCGGCCCGCAAGTGGGATGCCATTCTCCGGAGATCCGACGTTGAGTTTTGGTGGCAACTGAAGCCTGGCCAGGTTTTGAGTGAGTGGTGCCATGTCTTGCCTTGAAACGAGACGGGAATGGGACAAATGCTAACCAGTGTCCAGTTTTTGACAACTGGCGTGTGATGCACGGTAGGAGTGCGTTTGAGGGCAGGAGACGCATCGCCGGTGCCTATAGTGAGTATTTCGACTTCGAAACCCACCGTCGAACGCGACTAACACCGATAGTCAATCGTGACGACTTTGTCTCCCGCTGGAGAAATACAAACTTCCCCCACGAACAGGTCCTGAACCAGGTTGTTGGCTAGACGGGTCACGGAACGCATGACAGGGTGTCAAAGGTTTTGGACAGAGTTGCATTGGCATGTGAAGGAGCAAATGGTTCGCGAGTAAAGGCGCAAAGAGGAAACAGTTGATATCATCTCATCCCGTCAATCGCTGCGTTTTGGCCGATGACCCGCGCCGGTTTGGCTTCGTTTCGTTTCTGGCAGCCCGGGTCTCGTGTCATTGTGTGCCCCGCGATGTCCCCTGTACCTATTGCAAAGCGGCTGTAGTATAGAAGCGCGCCAGTCGAGTCAAGGCGGGGGATGTGCGTTTTAGCCCCGATGGCCCCGCGATTCATGCCCTTGGCCCATTGAGCAAACCCGCCGTGGACACTAGGAATTGACATTTCGCATCTCTGGAGACTTGGACACGGCCCAGTTCAGGAACAATGCGACCCGAACAGCCCCGAAGGCCGGGACCCCATGGCACCAGGTTCCCCCCACAAGAACCTGGAAGTTCTGGAACCACCCCGGCAACGACCGAGGATGAAGAAGACTTGAGACATGCAGCAGAAGCCTGGAAGGGAATGTTGCGACGACGGCAGCCATGCATAGGCATATCCCTAGTGGCCGTCTTCAGGGTCAATGACGGCTTTGAGACACCTCATTGACCCCTCCACCCGTCCTAGCGTGAAGCGACACAGCGTGGAGCAAGACAGCTTCCCCCTCCGGAAACCTCCCCATGAGCCCCACAGCGTCACCTCGCTGTCGATTGTTCCGGCGCATGAGCCAGGGACTCATTGCCGCGGCGCGCCGGCCATACTAGTATTAGTATTAGCTCCTCCCTCGAAGGGGCCGCTTCGTGGGACATCGTCGAGTGGAATCCTCAATATCTTTAGAGTGCGGTGAAGCTTTCTCCCTAGAACCTTGTTTGAGTGAATTAGCAAAAGAAAAAAGAGACCCTCTTGCGGCAATATTCCTCCCTGTCCTGTCGAGTCGACGCTTGTTAAATATGTTCCGCCACGCCCTTCGCGCTGCGGTCTCGCGGCCCCGAGTCCTTTGTGTTCCTCGTGCCGCAGTCGCCAGCAACAGTAGCAGCAACAGCAGCCCCGCGAGATTCCAGCCCTTTTCCACGACAGTCGCAAGAATGGCCGACATGAAGGACGGTGCTTTCAAGCACGATGCCACGGCGGCCCCGCAAAGCACTCGTGTGCTGCCTCTCTTCTCTCTCAAGGGCAAGACGGCTATTGTCTCTGGAGCTGGTGCTGGCATTGGATTGCAGATCGCCCATGCCTACGCCGAGGCGGGTGCCAATGTCGCCATCTGGTACAACAGCAACAAAAAGGCCCTGGACCGTGCTGCTGAGATTGAGAAGGAGTACGGCGTCAAGTGTGCGTGGATGCGCCATAGAAAGACATCCGAGTCGTGTTGCTAATCGTTCCGCAGGCAAGGCGTACCCGGTGAACGTCACCTCCCACCAAGCTATCCAGGAGTCGATCCAGCAGATTGTGTCCGAGTTCAACGGCCGTCTCGACATCTTTGTCGCCAACTCGGGCATCGCATGGGAAGAGGGTCCTTTGATCGACGGGCCCATGGACGTTGCCGACAGGGTCATGGCTGTCAATGTCAATGGCACCGTGTACTGCGCTCAAGTTGCTGGCGAGCACTTCCGCAGACAAAAGAAGGAGGGCACAACGCTCGACGGCAAGAAGCTCGAAGGCTTCACCACCGGCAGCTTTATCGCTACCGCCAGCATGAGCGCTCACGTCGTCAACATTCCGCAGGCGCAAGCCGTGTACAACGCGTCCAAGGCGGCCGTCGTTCACCTCTGTAGGTGCTGTAGTTGTGGAGGAACCAAATGGGGCTGACCAGTGCACAGGCAAGAGCTTGGCTGTTGAATGGGTTGATTTTGCCCGCGTCAACACGGTGTCGCCCGGATACATCAAGACTGAGATTACCGCTTTTGTCGACGAAGAGTCCAAGAAACAGTGGAGGAACAAGACGCCAATGGGGTAAGTTGACGAGATGCATCATGTGTGAGTCTGTAGGCTGACTTGACAAACAGACGCGAGGGAGAACCCAGCGAGCTCAAGGGCGCATACTTGTACCTGGCATCGGATGCCGCCTCGTACACCACCGGATCCGATCTTGTCGTCGACGGAGGCTACTGCTTGCCGTAAGAAGCGGAAGAGAATGATACCCATGAGGATGCCGTAGAGATGGAAAATTACGATGACGGAGCTGGAGGAAACAATGGCCGGCGAGCAAGGGGGTCGGAGGCTGCATGATGAGCCGATAAGCCGAGCCGGAGCTTGCTTCCGTCTCGAGGTCACTGGCTCGAGTGCTGTAGCGATAGCAGGCTGTGAGCACCTTCAAGGTCGAGTCTCAGGGATGCCATGCCGATAGACAAACGTGCAGCCGATAGATTGGATAGAAGTAGAACGCAAGCCAGCGCAGAGGGCTGCAAATGATGACAGACTCTAAGACAATTGGGGCCGTGTCCGTGTGGTGAGAAAACGCGGAGGAGGGGCAGGCGAGCGGATTGCGTCCAATGCGCGTCGTGATATTGCACTTTTGGCTGGCCAAGTCCGAGGTGAACCGTGCTGCAGGCTGCGTGCACTGCAATTGGAGGCGAACCGAAGTGGAAAAAGTGCTGGTGCTTTTTTGCTGTGGTGCTGTGGTGCTGTGCTGTGGATGAGGGGGAGGGGAAATGGAAGGGAACGAAAAAGGGTCTACAGTACGGAGTAAGAACCTAAGGTACCTAGGTAGGTAGGTAAGCTGCGAAGCATCATCCAAAGTAGGTACGTACCGGTACGTTCTTCTCCTGGCGGAAGGAAGTGGGGGGAAGAAGGGGCAGAAAAGGCAACTTAGGTGGGCGCCTGTGGCTGCCTCTCGTTGCCTCTCGCCACGGAAGAGAGGGGTTAAGTTGAGGTACTTCTCTCCTCACCCAATTTAGCTCCGGGTGGGATGTATACGCAGCTTCAATGTCCCGCCGTCCGCGGGCATTTGGCGTCTGCCACCTGCCAATTCGTCTGAGGTAATGAAGGTGATGTGTGCGTGTTCCCCAGCTCCCAGCTTACCTGAGCCACGAGCGATAGGTAGCACCAGCACCCCGAATGCCCTGGATTGATAAGGTAGGCATCACTGATCAATGGAGGGCGCCTCCCGTGGTACCTAACGTTAGTAAAGTGCCCGCCTGCGTAGCGAGCCAGAAACTGGAGACTGACAACCAAGTCTCTGCCAGACACTGGACTGAACTGACCTGGCCAAGTGCATCCCATCCGTCCCAATTCCCTTCACCCAACTCCCCCTTCTCAGCCCTATCTTTCTCACCTCAATTTTTACCCCTCGCATCGCATCGCAAAGCCTGGCCTCGTCTCTTGCCGTCTCGTGCCCAACGACCTCGCTCCAACCCAGCTCGCCTCTTTGTAGGCCCCCCTTTCCCATCGCGACTTGATCCAGAGCTGGTTCTCGCCTAACCGTTACCCTTCACCGCTCTGTTCTCTGCCACCCGAGTACCCTCGTATCCATCATAGATACCCCCCCGGCCGATTAGTACCCCTTTCGATTTCGCCGCTTCAATCTTCACACACATCACCAGCAATCATGGACCCCGAGGGAGCCAGCACGCCTGGCGAGGGCAGCCGCACCCAGCAGCAGGTCGACAATGCCATCCGCGCCATTCGCGAGAAGAAGCCCCTGCCCGAGATTGATTTCACGATTCATACCATGGAAGATGGCACCCAGGTCAACACCATGGAGCGAGTCTGCAAAGGTACGCTTGATACTCTATCTACGCTGTTGCCAGCCTCGTCCTCATTGCGAGTCTCGAGCGCCATGAATACCCTCGTCTCGAGACTACTCAATCAACAACCCTTTGGGCGCTAACCTATTTCCTTGCCACAGATGTTCAGGCCCCCGCCATGTTCACGCCCTCTGACGAGCAGTTCTTCGAGGACGAAACCCACACAAAGCCCAACATCAACTTCCTCAAGCAGCACTTCTACCGCGAGGGTCGCTTGACCGAGGAGCAGGCTCTATGGATCCTCAAGACCTGTACCGAGGTCCTCCGCGCCGAGCCCAACCTGCTCGAGATGGATGCGCCCATCACCGTCTGCGGTGACGTCCACGGCCAGTACTACGATCTCATGAAGCTGTTCGAAGTCGGAGGCGACCCCTCCGAGACGCGCTATCTCTTCCTCGGCGACTACGTCGACAGAGGCTACTTCTCCATCGAGTGCGTCCTGTATCTCTGGTGCTTGAAGATCCACTACCCCAAGACTCTTTGGCTGCTTCGCGGCAACCACGAGTGTCGCCACTTGACCGACTACTTCACCTTCAAGCTCGAGTGCAAGCACAAGTACTCCGAGGCCATCTACGAGGCCTGCATGGAGTCCTTCTGCTGTCTGCCCCTGGCTGCTGTCATGAACAAGCAGTTCCTGTGCATTCACGGTGGTCTGAGCCCGGAGCTTCACACTCTCGACGACTTGCGCAGCGTGAGTACTGCTCTCGCCTTTGCGTGCAACTATCAGCTAACGATGTGCCTTCGCAGATTGACCGTTTCCGCGAGCCCCCCACCCAGGGCCTCATGTGCGACATCCTCTGGGCCGACCCTCTCGAGGACTTTGGCCAAGAAAAGACAAGCGACTACTTCTTGCACAACCACGTCCGCGGATGCTCCTACTTCTTCTCATACCCTGCCGCATGCGCATTCCTCGAGAAGAATAACCTTCTTTCCGTCATTCGTGCCCACGAGGCGCAAGACGCCGGCTACCGCATGTACCGCAAGACTCGCACCACGGGTTTCCCCAGTGTCATGACCATCTTCTCCGCGCCGAATTACCTCGATGTCTACAACAACAAGGCTGCCGTGCTAAAGTACGAGAACAACGTCATGAACATTCGCCAGTTCAACTGCACGCCCCACCCCTACTGGCTGCCCAACTTCATGGACGTCTTCACCTGGTCGCTCCCCTTTGTCGGTGAAAAGATTACCGATATGCTCATCGCCATCCTAAGCACGTGCTCGGAGGAGGAGCTCAAGGAGGACGCCACCCCGTCGTCCACATCTCCCGGCCCCATGTCGCCGCCCCTCTCCGGCGCCTCGCAAGACCCCGAGTCGATCGAGTACAAGAGACGGGCTATCAAGAACAAGATTCTGGCCATCGGCCGTCTCTCGCGTGTATTCCAGGTGTTGCGCGAAGAGTCAGAGCGTGTCACTGAGTTGAAGACCGTCTCCGGTGGCAGATTGCCTGCCGGTACCCTGATGCTGGGTGCCGAGGGTATCAAGAACGCCATCAACACATTCGAGGATGCTCGCAAGGTCGATTTGCAGAACGAGAGACTTCCCCCTAGCCACGACGAGGTTGTGAAGCAGCAGGATGAGGACCGGAAGCAGGCGTTGGAGAAGGCGGCCGAGGATGCGGCCAACGACAAGAAGCTGCAGCAACTGTCTAGGAGATTGAGCACGTGAGTTGTTGTGCATCGCCCCTTGAAGTTTCTTTGACTGACATATTAGCAGCGACCGTAAGAGTCACAAGGGATGAGACGGCACTTTCTCGGGGTAGAGGTGTTGGCGATAGAAGGCCCGCGGCGGATGATAGCACACTAGGGCGTCAAGGCTTGGTTTGTTTCAACAAATTAGCTCAGCTAGGAAAGCTGGCATACGAATACAATTAAAGCATTTCAACTTCACGAGGGGTCTCTGGGGGCGTATCGGGGCCGTGTTCTTGATTATGTGCTAAGGCGTAGGCTATTGTGTACAGTGTAGGTTGATGATGGACAGCATACGTCTGGGCTTTTGGGTGACCATGTTGATTATTTTACCACAGACACCCTGGACAATCTTCCTTCTCAAGCTGGCGGCAAACATTGCACCTCCACCTCATTCATGTTCTTCGGAGTGTTTTTACATTGGCTTACATCAGACAGATTTGTGTACGGTGTGTCAGGGGGCCAAAGGGCTCGGGAACTCGATCCTGCTTTCAAAAGATGGCCAGAATATTGGGCGGGCTTACACACCATGTTAGCCAAAGAGCAACGCAGACTCAACAAAAGTCAAACAGGGAGACCTTGTAAATCTTTCTTACCTCGCAACACCGCCAGGAACATTACACGGCTCGCTCACGACGAAGAAGCTCCACCTCTTTTCGCGCTTACACTGCGCCGCCAGCGCCTCGAGGTCGAACAGCTCGCCGATGGGCATGCCCCAGCCGGCGAGGAGGACCTCGTGCATCCAGTGCGCCGGGTCGCGGTGCGGCCAGCACTCGAAGGACGGTTGGTCGCCTGCCACGGCGGAGAAGTTGGACCAGACCCAGCGGAGGGTCTCTTCGGATTGGGCTACGCCGGAAAAAGTTTGTGGGCTGGCCGCGAGGTGGGTGGTTAGGGTTTCGGGGGGGAGGGAGGCGTGTGTTGCTGTGAAGCCTGCGGTTTTTGTTGGTGAGTTATGTGCTGGTGAGATGGGGAGTAAGGGATAGGGGGTTAGGGGAGGGAGAGAAGAGGGAAGACAGAAGAGAGAGAGAGAGAGAGAGGAGGGAGAGATACCTGTGCGGGTGATGAGTATATCGCCAAACTTGACCTCGGTGCCCTGCGCCTTGAGACAGGCCTGGAGGTCCGCGACGGGGATGGAGTCGCGCGCAAAGGGGTCGTAGGGCATGTTTTGCTCGAGGCGCCAGGTGTGGTAGTCTACGAGGATGCCTCTGCCGACGATGCCGTGCTTTTGCCAGGCTTTTCGAGGTTGTCAGTAAACTGATTGGAATCTAGGCACAACGAGGTGGACACACGAGGTGGACTCGACAGAGGACTCGACAGAGGAAGATGTTGTGGTAAAAGGGGGGAGAGCAGAGGGGACAAAGGGGCTGGCTCACCTTGAATCCCATTGACGGTCGACCGCCTCCCATCCTCGTCCACGGCGTGGACCTCGTCCATGGAGACGCCGTTGTAAAACTTTTCTTCTTTCTGGTACCCAAAGTGCCGGAGGCCGTCCCACTGCGACGACGACTGCGAATTAAAGGTCCACTCGTCGTCGTTTACGAAGCGCGGGTGCTTGCGGTAGAGGTCGTGGTGGAAGGCGCGGCGGTTGAAGAAGGGGGCGGTTTGGGCTGTCAGGGGCCAGTTTAGGGAGACTCTGTGTGTGTGATGTTGTCTTTAGTTAGTTTCCATGATTCGCCTTTTTGAATCCCATTGATTTGCTTCATTACATGGTTTCAGAGCTTGAGTATTCTGAACTTCACACCAGGATCGGGACGGTGATGATGTCGTTAGAGTAAAGACTCAACGTGAGAATTGTCAATTTTACCTCGCGCCCGTCTTAATCTCCTCCCTCGCAGCAGCAGCGACGCGCTCGTCCGTCAACCTGTTCAACGTCCCCAGCTCGTCCTTGTCGCCGTAGAGGCCCCAGGCCGAGAAGCGCGGGTCGTCTTTGCCGAGGGGCAGAGACTCGAACGGCGGGATGCCGTTTTCGTTGAGGGCGAATTTGGAGTCTGCGGGTGCCATTGTCTCTGCGTCTGGTTTGGAGGAGGAGGAGGAGGAGGAGGAGGAGGTCTGTGTGAGCTGGTTGCCGAGTTGTTGTAGGCGCTTCATTGCCATTGCTCTTGTGTTTTATACCTTCCTAATTCAAAGTCTGAAGTTTTGCAAGATTTGATGATGCTCAGAGACACACGCTCTCTGTGGAAAGACGAGTAGTTCATTTATTCGATGGGGGTAAGTTATGTTATCTTGGCTTGGAGCTCATGCAGGTGCTTCTCCGCACTTTTTGGTGTGAGGCAGTCAGTCCGATGTCATTGAGGAGTTGCGTAGTAGACCGTCATCCGGTCTCTTATTCCCGGGCCTGGACAACATCGTCCGGGAGAGGGGGTGCCGTAGCGCAGCGCAGGACGCATGCCGGTGTTGGCCAAACGTTGCCCCTGCGATTGGCCAGCGGTGATGATGCGAGGAATTTGATGTTCCTGAGAATAAAGTCTGCGACAGCACCAGTGGGGTTTACACAATGGTGAACGAGAAACGCCGGGACGCAACGGTTCTATAATGCTTCCTAGCCGGTGCGGATGAAAAACCTGCGCCAGAAACGAAACAGGGACTGTTTATGCTTGAAATGATGTGTGATTCAAATTCTGATGCTGGAGACCATATCACCTCCTCTATCTACCCGTTTATCCTAGTTTCCCTTCAACTTATCCCAAAACGAGCTGGGGGTCTTCTCGACCGGGGGTGACAGGATGATCGTATTCCAAACGATCTCGCCGTCAATGTATAGGTTGTACTTGAGAGAGCTCTGCTCGCCCTCCGCCAGGTTCTCAATGGTCAAAGAGCCGAACTTGGAGTTGCCAGAGTGGATGTACCTAAGACTGTTAGTATCGTACCTCTGGTTTCCAGCGACTGCACTTACTTGAGAGACACATCCTCATTATCGGTTTGTCTGTAGCTGGGCAACGGCGATGCGAATTGGTTCAGCGGACTGCACGAGAACTCGTACGCGGCGGCGCTCTCTTGCCATCTTCCATCGGCGGGAGGGGGGAACTTGGTGGCCGCAAACTCGTGACGGTCGCCAGAGACGACGACAACACCAACACCCCTGGCACCAGCATCCCACATGGCCTCGAGAATCTTGCGCCGCTCCACCAGGAAACCTCCCCACGTATCCTTGCGGTTGATGGGCCAATTCTTGGTCAGAGGAATCGACGAGGCAACAATCTTCCACTTGACGCCCTTGGGCTCAGGCCGATTCAGCCACGCGAGGAAGTCCTCCAACTGCTCAGCACCCAGCATCGTCTTCTCCGGGCTGTCGGAGGGAACGTCATTGTCGGATCGGTACGAGCGCGTGTCGAGCATGAAGAAGCTCGCGGGGCCCTGGACAAACTCAAAGTAGGTGGCGCCCTGTCTCCGGAGGTTCGTGGTCCCCGCAACGCGAGCAGGAGGGGGGTTGGCCAGCTCCTGGTAATGGTGCCACGGCTCGATTGCGGCCCGGTACACGCCAGTGGTGTTTGACGACCAGTCGTTGCCAATCTCATGGTCATCGAGAACGTGAATCCAGCTGAGGTTCTGTCCTACGGGTGCCCAGTCTGGAGAGGCATAGACGTGGCGATACTTTTGGCGGTAGTCCTCCTCGTTCTTGCCTTGGCGTTTGGGTACGTCAATGTAGATGAAGTCGCCCAAGAAGAGCATGAACTGCGCCTGCAGACTAGGTAAAACTTTTGCCAAATGGCGCATGCCGGGAATCGCCAGGGCGTGCTCCAAGGGGTTGTACGGGAAGCGTGGGAGGATGCACGAAGTCGACAAGAAGGTGAACTTGTTGTCATTGAAGGTCGACATCTGCCCAGCTCTAGGCGGGGCCACGAACTCGCCGCTGTGGTTGTTGGACGTGCGCCATTCATAGACTCTCTGCTGGGAGTGCTTCAGAGGCACGGTCAAGGTGGTCGCAAAGTCGGTCGTGTTGTCGGTGAACCTCAACCCGCCACCAAGCTGCCACATGGGGTTGTCAAAGGGCGGCTGCGGATCCTTGATGTGAATTTCGAGCGTGACGGGCATCTTGGCTTGGTCGGGTTCGCGAACGACGAATTTGGCCTCTGTCGGGGAGACATAGCCAAGGCGCACAAAGGAGAGGTCGTCGACCGGGTGGTACTGTCGAACACGGAACAAGAAGTCGGCCGTCATTGCAACCAAGGCCAAGTTAATCAGGAAGGTCAAGATGGAAAGAATGGGGCTGGTTGAGCTCGGTGTTCCGGCAAGAAGCGTCTTCAACGGGCTGGACTTGTCCTTGACGACGATGGTCTCTTCGATTTGGATCTCCTCGGCGACGACATGGCCGTTTGTGCCTGCCGCGCCGTGGACATCCTCTGTGATGGTTTCTTTGACCGTCACGTCAACGTCGTCCTCCACTACATCGTACTTTGGCTCATTGATGTAGCCAGATACGAAGGAAGGCACGAAGACTGCAAAGAGTGCGAATATGCTCATGGGCACAGCAGCCTAAACCCAGCATGATCAGCACGATGCGCCAAGCCTGGACAGTCAAACGCTCGGGAATAAGTGGAACTTACTGGGCCAGGAAACTAGAGTTGCATCCAATGATTAGCGACCAATTGCTAAAAGAGAACGTTGAAGCACTTACCCATCGCAGAAAGAGGTACGAGACCACTCTCAACGCGATTGAGGATGTGGTTGCAATGCGCGTCTGAACCGCCATGACGCCGAGAGCTCCGTAGTGGGTAGATGTGAAGTGGAAATTGCAGGTTGTAGATGAGAAAGATTGAACTTGAACTGGTGGAGGATTAAATAGTTTGCAGGGATTGTCTGTCAAAGAAAGAAAAGAAAAAAAGGCAAGAGCTGCTCCCCTTGCAGCTGGGTATTGGAGAGAAAGAACGAGACAATGGAAGAAGGTTTGATAGAAGGTGGTCGTCCGTGAATCTGAGGTGATGCCTGCCCTGTCAGAGGTGGTAGCTCAGCCAGACGTGACGTGACAGCTGAGCTGACCTCTGAAGAGATGAGGTCACTGATTAATGAAAAGCCCCGTACGCGCTGAAACACCGATAATAAGCCACCTCCCGTCTGCATGTGAGCGTGGCTGGTGAGGGAGCTCAAGCTGCTGCTGTGGGGACAGTGGACTGGAGGTGCAAAGGTGCCACCTTGCTCTCCCGCAGAACAGGTGTAGTCGCTGCTGTTGGCCCGTGCATGCTTCCTAGGGGCGTAGCGGCGCCAATTTTCCGCGCCGAACTTTCAATCGTGGCCCGTTCTAAGTGACCCTTTTGGCGACAGCTTGTCCAGAATCCCCTGCTTCACGAGTCGACGAGAGATACCCTCACGCGCCCACCTAGGACTCTCCCCACGCAACAACACATCATGAGGGTGTCCGCCATCGCCTGCGGGCTTTTCGCCTGCTTCGTTTCCCAGGTCGCTGCCACTGCATTGACCTACAAGCTCCACGCCAACGAGAAGGCCTGCTTCTACGCCAAGACCCAGAAGGATAACGAGAAGATTGCCTTTTACTTTGCCGTGCGTCCACACCCGCGCCATCACCGCTGCAGTAAGCTAACAACGATGCGTAACAGGTCCAATCCGGTGGTTCTTTCGATGTCGACTACACCGTCACCGGCCCGGGCAACAAGATGATCCTCGATGGAGCCAAGGAGCGCCAGGGCGACTTTGTCTTCACGGCCCAGCAGATGGGCGACTACGAGTTCTGCTTCAATAACGAGATGAGTACCTTTGCCGAGAAGTTTGTCGACTTTGAAATTGCCGTACGCCCCCCTGATGACTCCCCAACCCAAACAACATTGCTGACCCCTTGTGAACCCAGGTCGAGAACGAGGTTCGCGCTCAGCTTCCCGCCAAGCAGGGCGCCTCTCCCGAACAGCACTCCACCCTCGAGGAGACCATCTTCAAGCTCTCCGGCCAGCTCTCGACCATCTCGAGAGGCCAAAAGTACTTCCGCACCAGAGAGAACCGCAACTTCAGCACCGTCCGCAGCACCGAAGGCCGCATCATCAACTTCAGCATGATCCAGTGCGCCCTTATCGTGCTGATGGGAGCTCTGCAGGTGTTTATCGTTCGCTTCTTCTTCCAGGGCGCGCGCAAGGGCTACGTATGAACGGCGCAACGAAACAAAAAAGTTATTCTGGATTTCATCGCGGCGCGGGGTAAAAGGAGTCACCAGGGACTCGTGTATATCACAAGTAAAAAGAGACTTGATGTGGTTCACGGTATGAGATATCTACGACGATCAAAATTCAGCGCTGTTGTCATGAAAAGGGGAGTCCGGGGCCCGTCGCTAGGGGCATCCCTCTTGGAGCACATGTAGCACCGGTACCGCTAGTGGACTTGATGAATGGTTTAATGAGTGTTCTCCCTAGAGTCGAGGTTCTTTGTGACAAGGCAGTGGCCTCCATGATGTTGCCCCGAAAGTGTCGAAGCCGAGAGCTCGAATGTAACCGACGGACCAGATACAAGGACTAGGCGTAAGGTTCCTCGCAGACCGCAGATATTCAAATGCCATCTGCTGCCTTTCCTCGCATACTCCTCTTGCACCAACTTCCGCACCTTGAAACGTCGCAATTGTGCCGGAGACATTGATAATCGGCATCTTCCTCCCACTGCCTCTCTGAGTTAGAGGTGAGCTGTCGGCGACATCTGATTGGCTGAGACTGTGGCTCGTGCACTAGCCACGGCAGGCTGCAGGTGGACCCGCTGTGGTCTTCCCATCTCGGGCGGCTTGAGCTTCACGAGCTGCGATAGCAACGGCAGCCTCGCGTGCGACCCGTGTAGGTCCCTTCTAGCGATTTTGCTCAGACAAATCACACCTTGACGCGCGAATTCTCCCAAGAACAGCGATACTTATGGACCCGAAACCGCATACGCAAGCTCAATCCGCCGCGCCAACGGGCAACACCAAAACAACACACCACCTCTATTGAGGTGGATCGCGACTCGTCAATGCTGAGGGACTCACGCCGCAGCTCCAAACACCAAAAGAAGCACAAGGAACAGCCAAAGGAGGAATGGTACATCATTAAGGATATCCTACAAGAAAGGCGAAACGGCTCAAATATCGAATACCTCGTCGATTGGGAAGACAACCCGGAAACCGGCGAGCG